AACTACTATTAACTATCAACACTCATATCAAATTATAATAGTGCTCAATATCATTTAATAAAATATTCATTTGCTCAAAATGAACTCTTTTTCATTTATGAATCAACTTAGCCAGTGTAATTTTATAACAAGTATCAAAAGTTAAAATTCCTGAGTCTCTTTATTGGTTTTAATCAAAGGGAGACAATCCACCTACATCACACCTTTGCCATTATCTCACTTTGACCATGTCTTATGTCATTGTGATTTTGTTTCTTAAAGACAAACCTATTTTGAAGTAGATTCAGTAAATATAGATATTATAAAAAATAATATATTTGTTTCATACATATGTAATGTTTCAGTTGTGCTTGTTTATTACATAATTTTTAACATATCCCTGTAAATTAATACACAGGTAATCTTGAACTGACCTAAACATGGTGTTTTATATACAGATTATATTTATAAAAAACCTTCTACTTACCTAGTTAGCAAAGAAAGTACTTGCTATATGATCCCTGATAGCCTTGCCGTCATTCCGTCCTCTGTAGTGGTCAATGGGTGGCTGGTCCTGTCTCACATGGGCATCATCGACATCAAGAACCTCACTCCGAAAGATAGCTATGTTGTGCAATATTGCGCAGGTCAATATAATTTTGCACACCTTTCCTGGGTTCATACGGATCTAAAACAAAGTTAAAAAGCATATCACATTATTTGCTATTTAAAAATCAAATAAGCAATCAGACATTATTTATGTATTGAAAACTTTATCATAGAAATATGATATTTTACATATCTTACTGAAAATATTACATTTCCTTTAAACTGCTATCTGCCCTTACTTTAAATCAATTGTGAGGAAATGCAATTTCTCTTCAACCAATAACTCTGTTATTTTATTCTTATTTTTAACCTTGTGAAGCACCACTAAGCAGCCACCGATTGGAAATTAGGTGCTATACAAGTGCATTATTATTATATCTTAATACCTCAGAATGCAGAACATGAAACCTTCGTTTTAATCGGCCAAAGGTCCTCTCTATGGTGACTCTGGTCCTACACAGTCTGTCGTTATACCGCTGTTGAGGGTTCCTTGTGGGTGAAGGTAGGGAGTGAGTAAGTAGGGTCTGCAAACACAACATCAGTATGAAGGAGGCATTCATTGGAAATGCTGACTAATTTGAAATAAAAAAAATATTTCACTTCACTAGAAAAATAACATATCATAATTTACATGTATGGAAAGCTACATTTGACTTGTTGAGCAATAATTATTAGCCAAAAACTTGAATTTAGGCTTTCAAGCAAATTAGATTTAAACTGTAAGTTTTTTCATGTAAGATATGAAAATTTACCGGCATGCATATCCACTATCTCCAAGGACAAACCCATCTGAAATTCTGGTGTGGTTGGCTTCTAAGTGTTGTCTCAGATTTGATGTCCTAAATATATGGCTGTCATGGGTGGAGCCTGGCCAGCTGGCACACAAGTTGGTTATATTTCCTGTTAAAAAAAACCCATAATATATATATATATATAATTTTTTTTCTTAAATTCAATTTATAGATTTGAAGTAATAATCATGCAAAATGTAAATTCATTCCTACTGAATTTCTGGAAAAACCAATCTCAATTCTTATAAAAATATTTGTCATGCTATAAATGAGTATAAGCATTACCTCTACTTTTATCATACAGACTATACCAAGGGAGCTCACTCTCACATTCTGTTTTCATTTTAAACAGATGACAGTTTTCAATCATGTACACTGAAGTGATATATCGGCTTTACTTGACACACTTTGAAACAAGTAAACATTGCAAGTAAGTTTAACTGTGAAGGTGTTGTTTACATACCTTTATCGTCACAAACAGCCTGCACGTTTATGCTGTGCCAGCCCTTACGGTTGACATAAGCAGGCTCATCTTGGGTGGGTGCCTGAATCCGGACATGGGTACCATCAATGCAACCGATGACATTAGGGAAACCTCCAATCTCAAAAAAAGCCCTTCTTTATCTTGTCTTTCTCTTGTACGCTTGACAATTGATAAACTGATGCCGCTTTCGAACAAGAGCATCGCACACTCTATCAACAGTCCTCGAAACTGTACTCTTATCAAGGCCAACCGTGTCTCCCACAACCTGTAGGAAACTACCGCTGGCCAAGAACCTCAAGGTGACTAGCACCTGTATCTCTACAGTGAGAGCATGGTTCCTTTTTTGTGTCTCTCTCCACATCATCACGAACCAAAGATATTATGTAGTCAATGGAATCTCTTCGAAATCGGTATCTTTGGTGTAATTCCATTTCATTAAACTCAACAGAAAAATTCCTGAATTCCTTAAGTTTTCTTTGTGGTCTAATGTTCATGAATGCTGCATTCGGCTGGACAATAAACGCCATGTTGTCACCATGGAGCTAGACCTAGAACTGATGCTAATGGTAATGTTAGTGAGCTAATGTACCCCTTCCCCTTCCGTTAAGTTAACGTGGGCTTAACGGGCCGTTAAAGGTTAACGGCACTTTGAGCAACAGGCTTTTGCTCTGTTAACGTTAACGGACCGTTAAGGACTAGTTAACGGTCCGTTAAAATTTAACAGGCTTTTGAACAACCGGGCCCAGGTGTGCTATCTTGGGTGACCAATTAGACTATACACCAATGTGAAAAACCTGAAACGATATATCACTTTTTCGCATATTAGACTGCTAAAAGATACATCACCTGGAACAGCTGCAGATGAATGGCATATCACTCGTTTTTGTGGATATTGATGGATACATTCCTCGAATAAGGTAATAGCCTGACATTGTTCCTATAACTTTAATCTGTTTTAATTTGAATATTTGCATTTTGTTTTTATTCATTTGTCGTAGCATTCAACAGAATCACAGTTTTCGCCGTGAAGTGTAATGAGACAGACAACATACACTAGGGCAAACTATAAAATGTCTAGCTATGACAGTTCTGTTATAAATTCACTATAAGTATCAGCAGACCACCTGCTTTTTATTAAGTTTCAAAATGCATACATGTATGATAATAAACTAATTAGGATTATCAGACCAAATAAAAAGACGTACATTGACTAGTATCTACATACTGGTAAGTGGACGTTAACCACGTGAATGTAGCAAGAAATTTATCGCGCAGTATTGTCACTTGGACCACAGCCTAGCTTCCGTGGAAGAAATCGGTATGTTATAAGTTGTGTCATAACAATTTCTCTCGTGGAAGCGAGGTGGGTGTCAATATAATACTACTTACAATATTATTGTCACTTTGACCACAACCTCGCTTCCGAGGAAGAAATCGTTATGTTACAAGTTGTGTCATGGAAAATCTTTATGGTCATCAATCATATATATATTTTACTACTACTAGTAAGTAGTTTTGATTCTTTAACTTCCGTGAAGCGATCTGAACACAAGTAAGATATCGTTCAAGGCTTCCACAATGCTCGCTTCGCACTCACAAGCATAACCCATTTGGCACGAACTAGGGGGGTCCGGTCGAAATCAGTGCATGGTGATACCATCACCCGACCCCTAGGAGAAATTGACGGCAACGCAACGATTCGGCATGTCTTCGTTGACGTCAAGATATCAGCAAAATGACGAGCTTGTTACACACTTTATATGCAACTTACTGAAAATCCTTCCTCACATGACGTCACTTCCGGTTCGCTGCAGTGCTCTGGCGACAGAGTTACGTAACCTCTCTGTGGTTTCGCGGGCGAGAGTGAATCATGCGACTTTTTGGCCACGTTTAATCGCTCGGTATTAATTAACCACAAGTTTTTAAGAACGAATTTGGTTATCCGCTTAAGACTCACCACACGTCTTTCATATGTAATGGTTAGAAGAGTACAAAAAACAAACGTTTATTTGTTCTTTAAACAAATGTAGAACGAATCTAAACCGAAACGTCGCTCTATGCAACAAACAAGAAGGGTGCATGCTTCATTATTAATTCTAGATGAAAAAATTATACGACATCATGGGTAACCTAGTATTGTTCATTTTTTAATTGATTTTAAAATATATTTTTATTCATATGTTAAGTGTTCCAAACCACTATAGTGAATATTGATATTGTTACTTATCAGGTTTTCGGTTGGGAACAATGACTACACAAGGCCTTTTCATGAGAAAGTGTAAGCCCAAGTATGACACATATTACATTTGACTTTGGGCAACTCACATGTTTCATGTCTTTCAATTTCTCTAATGCCAATCAAACAGTTTAATGAATGTTCAATAATGAGGTACCGCCATGTAGCTGGAATATTGCTGAGTGCGGCGTAAAACTCACTCACTGAATAATGAGGTATGTGAGTGAAATTGTATTCTTATTCATAAAACCCCATAACACTTTAGTTGGCATTTACATCAATAATGAAGCATACAGCTTGTTTAGTGCATGGAACGACGTTTCGGTGTAGATTCGTTACCAAGCTAAAGGGGACTCCAGCCAAGTGATGAGAAGTATATATACATAGTATGTTATGACAAACAACAGATTAACATTAACAACACCATGTAATTGATTACGAGTGGCACACAATTGGACGAGCCCAGGTGGGGAGTAAGAAGACCAAACAACACGGGTCATGAAGCTAAAATACAGGAGGGATTAAATAGTATAAATATGATGATTGGGCTCTATTTAATAGAGTCTATAGCTTGATTAAGTTTTCTCAGGCCGATGGTATGTCGTACCCTTGGTGGATAGGATTTCAGCTTTGTAAACTTTGTCAGCCGCAATGAGTATCCCACTAAGATATTCAAGTGGAAGACCTTCAAGAATGCCGATCAAACACTTTAACGACATCGGGGAACCAATGTTGAATATTTAATTCAGATGTTAAGTGTTTCAAATGACTGCAGTGAATATTGATTTTGTTACTTATCAGGTGTTAAGTTTGGAACAATGAACAAACAAGGCCTTTTCATGACAAAGTGTAAGCCCAAGTATGACACATTACATTTGACATTGGACATTGGGCAACTCACATGTTTCATGTCTTCATATTTCAACAGGAATATTTCCAGATCGGGAATATCTTCTATTGCTTGTTGCCACCCAAGAGTGTGGTCGAACCAAGATCCATACTCCACTGTAACAGAGAAATAGTGAAATATGTCTGGGTGAGTAAGTGAGTTGGTCTTAATAATTACTTACAGTCCCTGAACGCAACGTGACAAAGAGACCATATGATGCTACAATTCCCAAGACAAAACAGTACAAAAGAGATTACCTGACATAAGGGTTAACGTCACTTATAAGATTACTGTACATTTGTAGTGACGTGTGCGTGTTTGTTTGCGTGTGTGCGTATGCGTTTGCGTGTGGGTGTGCGTGTTTGACTATTGTCGGTTTTATAATTGTAGCCCACTGAGATATATTTCTGTTGTTAATATGGATACATATACTAAGACACAAGCCCCTGACTCCTCATCAGTCAGTCCTTGTTTTATCGAATACATGCGGAACCCCAGGGGATAACAAGTACCATCTTTTCCAACGTGTTTTGGCATTACGTTCTATCTATTACACCATCAAGGTGATCTTATCACAGGTAGTCAGTCGCCAACTGTTGGTTTGGAAATTACCGTCGCCATTGAGGAACAATTCCAGATAGTCCTCCCACTTGCCATTATACTCTTTGACAGGAACATGTCCATCATAGCTCCTTACTGTTTTCATACCAAATTCCATATTGTAGAAGGAAACTGCAACAGCTTTGGGGTCACGGAGAACGTATACAACTTTAGACTTCTTCGTTAAAACCTCTTTGGGGAGAAACTGGAAACGGAAATGACAGCCGAGCACCCTGGGAGATTTGATGGAGTCCAGAAGACTCATTGGTGCGAAGTCCAGCATGTCCATCCCACGCACGTTCTCTCTGTATTCGAGATCTTCATGTAGTATCATGCTTATCACCTCCCACAGCCAGTGTGTTCCTGGAAAAGGTATGAAATAGTTTAGGGACCAATTAATATTCTGGAAGTAGGGCTGGTAAAATATAATGGTATCTGCTTTAAAAGGAGCCAGGAAAAAGTGGTTCTTGTGAAAGAACTGTGGTTAAGCGTTTGTTCAATATACCTTTGTTCGATTCCCCGACTTTGTGAAAAGCTCCGGTTCGACAAGGCATAGTCCTAATCAAACGATCCCATTCTGGCATTTTGGCACGGTTTCGTTACACATTAGGGGCGGAGGGGTAGCCTAGTGGTTAAAGCGTATGCTCGTCACGCCGAAGACCGGGTACAATGGGTACCCGGGTACATGGGTACAATGTGTGAAGCCCATTTCTGGTGGCTCCCGTCGTGATATTGCTGGACTATTGCTAAAAGTGGCAAAAGGAAACTCACTCACTCTCTCATTTAGTCATAGATATATTTTTACTGACACTTTGTAAATGGAATAATCATTTCCTTAATCCATACACAGTCATACAACTTAATTACCAAATGATATCACTACACAGTGGTATCCCTTACTTTTTGTAATAGTATATATTCTATTTTGATGCAACGTGTCTGCATGTATTCCTATACCGTTGTCAAGCAAGAGTGAAGTAGAACTGAAGAGAACGGATTTATACACATCTATTAGGTATTAACAAAAACAGCGTGATGGGTACAATAAGTAGCAGAGTACTTTAGAAATCAATGTAGCGCCCCCTTGCGACTTATTCGAATGTAGACGCTCAAATACCTGATTTAGGATAAGTGCAAAGCAGGACATCATCAGATCGCAGCTTCATGTCCTCAACCCGTTTCATGTGCTCGTCAAACGGTATGGGAAATCCTCCCCGGTAGAAATAGCATCCTTTGTAGCAGTTGACAATCATATTTTCTCCACTACGATCGGTCAGGTCTCTTTTCGAAGCCATATTTGCAACAGTTGATTCAAAACTCAGGTGCAGTGGTATTTGTATCCGATCCAGTTTGTGATTGCAGCTGTTTCAATCATAATGAGGTTGCATTACACTGTGCGCATTTGCATGCAGTTTTACATATTCACTCGCATGCTCAAGGCGCTGGTATTTTTTCTCCTCGATCATTGGATGTCAATATCAACTGCACATCGTATTAGCAATCTCAACTCCCTGGGGAGTATACAACTCTTGCTGCCACTAGGCGCACCGAGTTATTGTGGTTTTCTCATCCTAACGAGGTACCCATTCACAGCTGGGTGGATTGGGACACATAGTCACAGCACTTTGTCCAACTTCACTGCACGTTGCTGTACCCGCAACTAGGTGTTTGCACGTATTCATGTGGCCACCATCTGGTCATATACCAACGGATTCGTGGGTTCCTTTAAGTGCACAGGGTTGTGTACTGTACACTAGGGGTTGTGACATAAACATGCAGGTGAATCTGAACCTGAGTACTGAATCCACTGAATAGTTCATCTTAACCTCTAACACCATGTTTTTCAAGTTATGCATTTCGAGGTTAAAATAAATTGGAACGGAATAGGTAACAACATGCATGTTCAACATACAAGTGTTGGTTTAGTCTCTATTTGCCAGGCGCGGTGGGGTAGTCTAGTGGTTAGTGTTTGCTCGTCACGCCGAAGGCCCGGGTTCTACTCCCCACATGGGTAAAATGTGTGAAGCCTTTCTAGTGTCCCCGGCCGTGATATTGCCGGAATATTGCTAAAAGCGGCGTCATACTATATTCATTCACTCAATCCATTTGCCAACATACTGACATAGATTACAACAAAAGGAGCAGGCCGTCGTTGAACCTCAATCTTTAGCTTGTGTGGGTCAGACTTGTTTATTTCCAAGTCGTGCAGCTTTAATATTACAACGTGCGTCGACATACAGCAAACACTATAATAGTTGGGTGATTCAGCGGTTTTGTCACTTCTTCGGATTATGTGCATGCCTCGGTAAGAAACTAGCGACACTGGGCTTGTGTCAGTTCAATCGACCTGTGAAGATCTGGTTAAGTAATCCGTGCTTGTCGTAAGAGGCGACTAACGGGATCGGGCTCGCAGACTTGGTGACACATGTCATCGTACCCCTATTGAGTAGATCGATGCTCATGATGCTGATCACTGGGTTGTCTGGACTGAATTCTTACAGACCGCCGCCAGTATAGAATACTGCTGAGTGCGGCGTTGAACAACAAACCACCCAACCAGCCCAGTTCAATCGAAACTCGGTCAGCGTTTGTCGGAATCTATATTGGAACTAGACTCGTGCACTGTCGCATGATTTTTATTTGTTTGTTTGTTGTTTAACGCCCAATATTCCAGCTATGTGGCGGCGGTCTGTGAGTGATTAACATCATGAGCATCGGTGATAAGCGTGGGTTGCTGACGACCAGTTCTAACCGTGATCTTCACGGGTCCATTATCGCATGACTTAGCAAACTCTGGCGTCAGTCGTGATCTTAGAGTGACTGTTCAGACTGTTTTTGCTTCATTTGTGTTGATCACTGGATTGTCTGGTCTAGGCTCGATTATTTACAGACCGCCGTCATATAGCTGGGTTATTGCTGAGTGCGGCGTAAAACTAAACTCACTCACTCACTCACTCATTTGTGTTGATGCCAAATGCGCATATACTTCCGTTTAGTGCAAAATCGTCACACATTCTATAAAACGACAGTGGTGTTTTACGAATTGTATGGTGAGGGGCGGTGGGGTAGCCTTGTGGTTACAATGCGTTACTTCGTCACGCTGACTGCTCGGGTTCGACTCCCCACATGGGTAAAATGGGTGAAGCCAATTTCTGGTGGTCCCGCCGTGATATTGCTGGAATACTGCTAAAAGCGGCTTAAAACTAAACTCACCCACTCGTTTAACCTTTTGCATGCCATCTATTCCGAAAATGTTGCATCGGCCACAAATAGGCTTTAGTGCATGAATTTTTACACCAGTTTAGAAGAAGGTAATGTCTATACAACCAAATGGATACTTTTAGATAACGGAAACGTGGAGCGCGATGGTGACAACGTAGCACGGTCCCGACGTCGAGTCTCCTGGCTCTCAGACCAATCTCTTTCAACCTGTTCCGTACAGTTTGACCGGATATCCTCCGAAGTCCAGGCACCCTGGCTGCTGTGCTCTCACCCGTGGCAGTACGCAAACGTAGTACCCGGATGTACCGATCTTGGGCTGCAGTGGTAACTCGAGGTCTGCCTGTACGGGGACGGTCATTTGTTATACCTGTTTGGTTGTAACGAGCTGCACACCGTGATATCTTGCTCAGACTAACATTCAGACGCCCTGTAACAGATGATTGGTAATCTCCAGCGTGCCATCTTTCAATGGCGTTCCGTGTCGCAGAGTCAAGACGTGGCGTGGTGATTTGATCTTGAAACTCCTTCAAAACGAATGCCAATTTCCGAAAGTAATCTGGAATTTTATTGCCAGACAGTGCATGCTCTTTGGTGCACAATTTCAACTCTAAGGTTATTTCTGATGCGTTGTGGCGACGCCTTTTTAATCCTTGTAAGACATCTCATCAAAATCAACATTTTCAGGTAAAATCGATTTTTCACTTGTGCAATTGTGCAAAATCATGTTATCAACTCTTTCGTTACATATTATGACGATTGTTTGAACACAATAGGTAATGAATAGATTTTTAAAAATACTGATCGCCTATGCGTTTCTTTTTGGAGATAGTATACTAATCATTGTAATTTATGTGGTCGTTTAACAACCATTTCATTACCTAGCTCTTCCTGGAACATTCCTGCATCGTTCTGTGTTTCCTAGCTCTTCCTGGAACATTCCTGCATCGTTCTGTGTTCCTAGCTCTTCCTGGAACATTCCTGCATCGTTCTGTGTTCCTAGCTCTTCCTGGAACATTCCTGCATCGTTCTGTGTTCCTAGCTCTTCCTGGAACATTCCTGCATCGTTCTGTGTTCCTAGCTCTTCCTGGAACATTCCTGCATCATTCTGTGTTCCTAGTTCTTCCTGGAACATTCCTGCATCGTTCTGTGTTCCTAGCTCTTCCTGGAACATTCCTGCATCGTTCTGTGTTCCTAGCTCTTCCTGGAACATTCCTGCATCGTTCTGTGTTAAAGAAAGTTTTGTTCACTGAATTTCAAAGAAATAAAAGATGCGTTACAAAAATATAGTTTTGTTTCAGTAAAGACGGTACGCAATAGCAGCCTGCAATTCCGATACATACGAAGCTAAATAGACTAACGCTTAGTTTCTGAATATATATAATTTTGATAGTAACAAACAAACCCATTTGAATTGAAAAGGAGACCAGAGATTCCTGAACCTGAGGAAATCTAGACTTGCTTCATTTAGGGCTTTGGGGCGGTGGGGTAGCCTAGTCCTCACATAGGTACAATGTGTGAAGCCCATTCTGGTGTCCCCCGCCGTGATATTGCTGGAATATTGCTAAAAGCGGCGTAAAACTAAACTCACTCACTCATTTAGGGCGTTAGAACTGCAGGGAGGACTAGACAGTACGGAAAATAATGCGGTTCAGGGACTGTGAGACAGACTAGAAGCTACGGGACCGTTCATAATTTATTTATGTACAAAATGAGTGATCCCCCTGCATGTCATGTACAAATCAATGACCACCCCTTCCCCTTCCCATAAATTCTATGCATAATTTTAAAATATATTTCTGTATAAAATTGCTGACCCCCTAGCTCCCCGGAACAAAATGGGTGACCCCCCTTAAAATCACCATCAACACACACACACACACACACACACACACCACAGCCATCAATTATGAACGGTCCTTAAACACCAACATACAATAGAGACAATACGGTAACTTTGTGTTAAAGTTAAAGCTACATGTAATTTCCGTGCAAAATCGTCACACATTCTATAAAACGGCCGGGGTGAGGTCTGGCCAGTGAATTCCTGCAGTGTTGGTGTTACTACTCCACTGCTGCCAGAGAAGATAATATGTAGATAGATGAATATAAAACCCGAGCGACCACTCAGTCATAAAGCAAACTCTATTGTGTTCGACTGTTATGCCTCTGTTTCTTTTAACAATGAACTCACAGCGCCCATTGTTTGTTTGATCCACAGCTGACACAAAGTTCCAGATGCGTACATTTGTCCTTAACATATATCAAAGGAATGTTTTTTGCTCTAACGTTGTGCTTTATTTCTTCATCATGGGCTTTGCCATTGTGGAATTCAGCACAACTGGAGATCGATTCTGACCACTTTGTTCCAACGCTGAACCCATTTCTGTGAAAAGATGTGAAAAGAATACGATATGATGTCGACCATAAATAGTTCATAATGCCATTGTGAGTGAGTGAGTTATTATTTAACGTCACATCGGCGTCATAATGCTATTGAATATCATGTTTATAACAATAATTTGTCTTCGTTCTATGTATATCAATATGTAAAAAGCCATATACTGAGAATAAATATATTTATAATTTAAAAAAAACCTGTCAGCGAAGAACAGTATAGCAACTAGTGTGAGATCAGTGTAAAATGCTTAATCATTTCAAAACAACACAATATAGAATCGGGCTATAGATCGCCAGCAACTGAAGGTAGACCACCATGCTAGGGACCATGGGTACTTACATTTTTTTTGCTACCTGCATGGGCTCTAGCTGGATTTACATCATCTCTTCAGCTGTTGGCGAAGTTTGAGCAATTTAGCCATAAATTAAACCTACAATCATTCTTTAATTAAAACTCTGGCAATGATCAACATATACATGTATTGAAAGATGTGGTCTTAAGTATCCTCGTCGGAGGACAACCATTGTAAGCTACTTCATCCCCCTCCGAGTGTACAGTCACGAACAATCTAAGTTACGTATTCATTTGACCAAATTTAAAAGAACTTATTAATTACAGTACATGATCAAACTTTATGAATCAAATCAATTTCCTTTAAAACCAAGAATTAAACGAGAACTTAAATGTAAAAGATCCTTTAAAGATGACACTGTGAAATATCGGGTCACCAACGTAAGACGATGTCGAATTGGCCAGTAGCAAGATCATTATATAACTCGATTATTTCAACTAAAAGTGGATGTTTAACAGATACGTTTCTAATAGCCTGCAGGCACGAATGAGAGTCTGACAAGATTATATATATTGTTTATATTTGGGGGTGTTTGTTAATATATTTTAAGGCTGCCAATATGGCTAATATGGGGTTTGCTTCAGCTGTGAATATTGAGCTGTCATCTGGTAATCAAGACGATATTGTTCTGGATCCAGTGACAGTGGCACACGCCACTGTACCACCATCCTTTGATCCATCTGTAAAAAGGATTTGTATGTATTATATTTACTTTTTAATTGATTAAATTCTTGTTTATATTGTAATTCATTAATTTCTGACTTTTAAAATGTTGTTAGTGAAAGGTCAATCTGGCCTCAATAATTGCCAAGGTGGAGAAGAAGAAATCATGTTGGAAGGAGATATATTATCCCGCTCAATGCCAGCAGCAGGAAGGAAATGTTGGTGAAGGGATGGCTAATCAGCCTCGACATAGAGACTATCAACAGGAGAAGTTCTAAAAGACCCCAGACAAAGTCTCAGACCTTGGTCTTGGACAAAGCTCATAGGTTTAGGTTGCTTTTGCAGGCTCCACAATATGCGATTGAGCCGAAACCTAGTTTCGAACGGATGGGTGATCTGTATAAGTGTAGGAGAGTGGTTTGGTCCCCTCCCAACTTTGAAATAGAAACGGCTTTCAACAAGTCACGTGCCTTCAGGCATGTATTTTTGAAGTATTTAATATTGGTAAAAAAAAGTTACATGAGAGTCAAAGATCAGACTCAGGAACTTGGCCTCCTTTACAACTGAAATGGGAGTGCCATGTTAAAATAGTTCTGGGTCTTAGTTTTGGATTTAGAAAACACAAAACCGTTTTCAACTGATCATTTATGAATTTGAATGAGACATAGTTGTAAAAGCCTCTCTATTGTATGCATATTTTACCACGACAAGAAACATTAAAATCATCCACAAAAAGGGATCCATCAACTGAATCAGTTAAAACCTTTGAAAGAGTGTTTATCTTCATACTACATAGTGTGACAGACAAAATACTGCTTCATGGGACACACCTGTCTGCTAAAAACTGTGACATACAAAGCGGTAAACGACCCCTCAAAGGGAAATCATGTAAATCCTGCAAAATGCCGTGTTTCCATGTAGTATCGTATGCGTTGCAGAGGACTGTGGAATTGTTTTGTCAGCAATGTCGTTAATACATCCGAAAAAGACTGTATAGGATCTTCACTGTTCCTGAACAGGTCATGCTTCAAGTGTTCAACACATAGAGTCTCATATAATGACCAATCATGCATTAAAATTCATAATGCATTATGGAGTCGGCTAGTGACAGACCCAGGAAAGAATATGGTCCCGTAGCTGGATGTAAATAAGTGGGTGAATCATCATTGAAAATTGATAAAGTATTATCAGAAATGAATTCCTCAAGGATTTTACCTTTATTATTAGTGTGGGCACTTCCCCAAAGCGGGTTGTGTCTGATGAGGTGGCCTATGATGATACATGGTTTTGGAAGTTTTTGAAGAACTGACGGTCGGATATCGGAAGAGGAAGGGATATATAGTGTCAACGTAATGTCAAAGTGTCACCGCAATGTGCAGGGTCAGACAAACAGCTACGGTTTCAAGATTGATATTAATAGAGACAGGGCTATGTAATACACCTTGTCGTACAAAAATGGAAGCAGCTCCTTCTGCTTTACCTCCTGGAAGAGAAAAAGAGTGATAATCACTGTACCGTCTTAGATTAAAGTTATCTGTATTTTTCAAATATGTCTCTGGAAGACATAATACTGATGGTTTAAAGTCCTGTATCAATAAGTGTATCTAATTGAAGTTATTCTTCAATCCTCTGCCTGTCCTGTGAGGACAGAGTGCCCCCATATCTAGAGGTCCAAATGAAATTTAGGAGAGGAACCTCCGGAGGTGAAGGGACAGTAGGTTGGATTGATCAGTTGCTGGTTGGGAAGTAGTTGTTTGTGAAGCAAAAGTTTGTGATGTCTTAGGCTGACTTTCAGCCTGAGATCCTGACGTATACGTAGATTGACTGACTGGGGAAGTAGGTTTTGTGGTGGAAGAGATCGTTTTTTCTGACTTGACCCATGTAAGTCGGAACAGAGCGGGGGACTGCGTCGCAAGATACGATATTTAACGGAGGTGAAGACTGATTTGTGACTGACTGAGTTTGGTTTTACGCTGCTTTTAGCAATATTCCAGCAACATCACGGCGGGGGACACCAGAAATGGGCTTCACACATTGTACCCATGTGGGTATTCGAACCCGGATCTTCGGCGTGGCCCCTGGTGGCCCCTTGCCCCTGGTGGTAAAATACCACCAGGGGCAAATTTGCCTCCAAGGGGCAAACTTCCATGGGGCAAATTTCGTCATGTAAACGGTACATACAGTGGGTAAATATTTACCCCCTTGGGGGTATTGAGGCAAAATTTGCCCCAGGTCAAGAGGTAGGGCAAATCTGTTTACCCCCAGGGGTATATTTACCCTCGGAGGCAAACGTGTCATGTAAACGCTTTTTATAAATTTTCACGGGGGGCAAATGACGAAGATCTAACACCCCGGTACAGCAAATGGACTCTTTTTTTCTTGGAAATCGATTTGTAGCACTTATGTAATAGGTTGCATCATTACCAATACTCTTGTCTATTTTGAGGAAGTGAAAATGCCACCAAAGAAGAAGTGCTCGTGGGGTAATTCATGGTGCGATGGTAGCACAAAGTGCCTTCTCAGTATTTGGGGTGACTTGAAAACACAATTCCAACTGGATAGTGTCTCGAAAACAGACAATGCTGTATACATAAAAATCAGCAATGCTTTACATGACATGGGTTATGGGAGAACCAGATCTCATCGTACAGACAATGTCGAATGCACTGAAGAAAAGTGGACAATCACACAGAACGTGTAAATTCTAGAAGGAAATGAATGAAATACTGGATATAAGGCCAGCCACCTTCCCTGGAAAGGTGATCTAGAGTCTTGAGAAGGAGGCACCAGTATCAGTTGCAGAAAACGCTCATGCTGGTGCTGATGGTGGTGGTGATCCTGCTTCTGAGGAGATGGAGGATGTCATACTTCTGCTTGAGGGTGAGGATGTCTCAGGAACCGAAAACAAGGATGATAAATCATATGCTTAACCATAAACAAAAGAAGAGGCAATAATTGGAACTTAAACAACAAAACAGAAGGGAAAACAAAGAAAAAGTCTTTATAGAGTGTATTGGACAGGTTCACAAAGTCAAAGTCTTAAGTCATGTATTGTTCACTTAAAAGCTTCAAATAAAGTAATGTTTTGATGACAAATTATTTAATTAGAGTAATCACTGTCTCAAATGTTCATCAGAAAAGTTTTACTGTCTTTCACTGGCAAACTGTGCAGTCAGTGCTCCTTGAAGAGCTGCTCCAGTGACTGGATCTGGATGAACTTGTTGTCCACTCTCTCCTGCTCCAACATCTACGTCCTGCAGCCAGTCGGGGTCGAACAACTCGTGCTCATTCTCAGATATATAGCGCCTAGTATCCATCTGACTAGTTGCTCACTGGACGCTGTTATCAGAATCTGATCATTATTACCCCGGATAACCCAAGCTGCCTGTTAGGCGCTAGAAGGTTATAGTCACACGACTTTATCCAACCGGGTACTCATTTTCTGCTGGGTGAACAGAGGCAAATTTGAACAAACCCACTTGCCTAAGGTGAGACCACATATATCACATGTGCTTCGTTGTGGGGCAGGACTGAAGTCCTAGAAACTCTCAGGAGTCAAGTAGCCAAACACGGTCACCCCTACAAGCACTGTCCGAGCTCGATGTTGCTAACTTCAACTGATTCATGACCTGAACTCCACGCACAGGACCTTCCCACACACTTCGCTCTCTGTGTAATGTGAATGTCACACATAAAACCATGACTTGCAAAAATCTGTTTCATCTCTGTCCATGGTCAGACTGAAATGGAGAATGATGAATACCCACCCCTGTCTTAAAACCCATGTAAACGCAAATTCTTTTCACCCTTTGCCTCTGGGGGCAAATAGGTGTCATGTAAACGCAGCTTAAGGCTCCTATTCATAAATTTCTATAAATCTTAAGCCTTGTTTACATGCACCTTTTACCCCATTTATGCCCCATGGGGTAAATCTACCCACAGGGGCAAAGGGCAAAATTGTGTCTGCGTTTACATTACACGTATGGGATAGGGGGTATTGATATTTCTTGTCACTTCTCTCTAACCATGGATGAACATAGGCGTTTGTCCAAAGCTAGAAAACGGAAGAGATTCGTCCAAACTTTGATTTTGTGTGTGGGTTTATCACTAGAGAACAACTTTTGGTGGGGAAAGGAAAGGAGTAGATATTGGTGGGAAGTAACTATACCACGTTTTGATGAAGCTCAGAGTAAGGAAAACTTCAGAATGTCTAGAGACATGTTCCAACGCCTCTATGAAACGTTCCATCTTCACATTCAAAAAAGATTCGTGGTGCTCTGACAATCGAACACAGAGTAGCAGTGGCAATATACTACTTGTCAGCAACAGTTGAATATCGCACTGTTGGTAATCCCTTTGGGATTCACAGGTCAACAGTTTGTTGTGTAGAACATTAAGTGCGTTATGCCACTTGTACACACATGTTTTCAGATGTTATGAAGTTTCCTATAGGCAAGGAGCTAAGGAAATTGGTATCAAGGTTTCAGGACAAATGGAAATTTCCTAACTGTGCTGGCGCTATAGATGTAACACATAGCCCGAGCATTACCCCACACTACGTCAACAGAAAAGGATGGTACTTAGTAATCCGGCAGGCCATATGTGATGACAAGTACAAGTTTACGGATGTGTGCATCGGGTAGCAGGTCGAGTTTATATTTTCAGGGTATTCTCTAATTCAGCATTCAAAGCTTCAGCAGAGTGGATCTCAGAGTCCTATCACACCACAGTCCCCAGAGTGGAAGAAAGGATTGGGTACTGCTCACAATAAAAGTTGACATGCCTGTCGTCATCATTGCAGATCCGACCTATCCTATGCCTCACTGGCTTTTAAAACGTTACGGCAACAGAGGAACCTAATCAGAAGAAGTCATACTTCAACTTCCGCTTCAGCAGTGCCCGGATGGTCATTGAAAATACATTGGGACGCTTCAAAGGAAGATGTAGGCGCTTCATGAAGCGTATCGACCTAGATGTTGACTTTGTACCAACTTTGGTTGCAGCCGCTGTCGGTCTGCACAACATGTATGAATCAGACCACATGTTCAACTCTGACTGGCTGGTCAAGTTGATACCACTTGACAAAAATACTGGACATGTGATGGGTGATGAATGATGGATTTGCATATGGTTGACAAGTGTTCACGATTTACTGTAGCATACGCAATTGGTGTTCTCTGTCAGGAGCTTTCTGTCTTTCTCCTTTATCCAGTTTCCTAAGATCAAACTCTTTTTTTTTCTTTCTCTCGTCATTTGTCTCATTTCCAGCTCAATTTGTTTCTTCTTCAGCTCAACTTTGCTTCAATATGTTCATTAGGTTTAGCAAACTAGTCCATGACAGTTTTCAAAGTTGTTTGCAGTTTGTGTTTTCCTTGTTTTCCTTTTTGTTTCTTCTGAGTTTCATCTTTTTTCCATCTGTTTTCATATGATCATTTTGTGGGCCATTTTTAACATATTCATAATCTCCTGGATCAGCAAGCTCGACATCATCAGCACTGTTGTCGGTAACATGGTCATCAGCTACTTCAAGATGAGATATGTCTGTATTTGATGCAACTGACTGATGGAGACTTTGAATGACCTTACCAGGTGATGTCGCAGGTCTTGTATCCAAAATTTCATTTAGCTGTTCATAAAATGTGCAGGGTTTTCGGGGCTGTCCACTTCTCTTACGTGAATCCCTTCACTGTCTATAGGATTTTTAAGTGTTTTCATTCGTTCTGTGCATTGCACGGCCTTTTTCTCAAACCCCAGTTCATGCATTACGTTGTTCACCTATGAATAAACAGCTGTATCAGCTGTTGAGGGGCTGTCCAGAAGGGATTGGATGGACATGTATCCGCAGATACTAAGCAGACCCTTTGTCTCATCATCTGTCCAGGCTTTACCACCTCGTAAACGCTTGTTTTTCGGAGGCATGTTGTTTCCAGTGCAGAGCTACAGATTAATGACAGGGTGGATAGTGCATACCAGCTAAATGCATGTCTAGATTTCCTGGAAAACCATTCCATTAAAAGCAGGGGTGGAAGGGTCTACAAATGTACCCCTGGTTGGATTAAGCTTGATAGACCGTTTACATGACACTTTTACCCCAAGGGGGTAGAATACCCCCGGGGGTAACTGAATTTGCTCCACCTCTTGACCAGGGGCAGAATACCCCCGTGGGGTATCATTTACCTTCCTGTTAAACCCGTTTATACGACAAAATTTGTCCCTCAGGGGTATTTTACCCCCGGGGGCAAAGAGGTGCATGTAAACAAGGCTTTAGAAATCATACAAAGGTAACTCAGCGTGAGTCTATTAGGTTAGGCAAAGTCAAAACATCCTTCTCGTTCCCAAAGAATATAGTTATACTGTACGTTACTCACGTTACGTATGTGTTAGTAGAAATGGACTAGTGGTTATAAAGCTCACTTTACGAATTCAAAACAGAAACTTACACCCCTTGGTTAAAAATACAGGGACCCTATTTTTGGCGCAAAAAATGGGCTTTGTTTGAGTTTGAGCGTGGCTACCGCATTATCAATTATGAAACCGGCGCTGTGCAAGCATTGGCATGCAGGCTGGACATTATGTTTTGCAGCTCTCTTTGATAAACACTTATATTTAATCTTATGCTTAATTGTTTGTTAATCAATTGATTTAATCACAAAAACATGAGGTTATGATATAAGCTTAAAGTACGTAGGATTATATGATCAATATATAATGAGCTTGAGCTTGTGCAGAATGTGGCTTCTTCTACCCATAGATCAGGACATACCCTTGACTGGGTTGTTACTCGACAGGACCGGGATATCTTGGATGATGTATCTGTGTTGGACTCCCAGATGTCTGATCACCACGTTATCACCTGTATCCTATCTTTAGTGAAACCGCCAAAGTCTGTTAAAACTGTCAAATCTCGCAATATTAAGAAAATTGATAGGGAGGACTTTAGATCAGATTTACTAAACTCACTACTTTTCACGAGCCAAACTGATGATCCGGAAACTTTATGTGAATTGTATAATGACACCCTATCCCATCTCCTTGATAGGCATGCACCCTTTAAAGAGAAGAATATTCCCGACCGTTCGTCGTTACCATGGTTTAATGAAGAGATCGCTTCTTTAAAAAAGAGAGCGTCGTGTCATAGAACGGAGATGGAGACAGTCGGGTTTAGAAGTGTATCGTCAAATGTTCACTGCCGCTAGAAACTGTGTAACTAGGGCAGTACGGAGGGCAAAGTCTGCATACACTCTATCAGCTCTACAGTCAGTAAGATCCAGCAGAGAGATGTATCAGCTCCTAAACCGCTTAGTTGGCAAGGCTAAGGATTCTGCTCTCCCACAGACGTCTGATCTGGGGGAACTTGTGGATAACTTCAATAGCTTTTTTTGTTGACAAAATCTGCAAGATTCGAAATGAACTTGATTCATTGGATATACCTGTAACGCATCATGAACCAACGCCATTGGGTCAAGTACACTTCATCAGTGCTTTTGCACCATTTTCAGAAGCAGAGGTCCTAAAGCTTTTAACATCAGCAAGACCAACATTTTGTATGTTGGATCCAGCACCAACACGATTTGTTCTTGAGTTCATTGATGTTTTGCTTCCAGTGATCACACGGATAATAAACAGCAGTTTATCTTCCGGATGTGTCCCCAAGTGTCTGAAGGTCGCTGTTGTTAAGCCACTCCTGAAAAGCCTGGCTTAGACGCTGACACACTATCGAACTATAGGCCTGTCTCTAATTTATCCTTCATATCAAAATTGCTTGAGAAGGCAATCAAGGTACGCCTTGTTGATCACTTGACCTTGAATGATCTCTATGACGTGCATCAGTCTGCATATCGCTCCGATCATTCCACAGAGACCGTACTTCTGCATGTGATGGAGAGACTTCTTGCTGCAGCTGATGCGGGCTATGTTACAGTTCTAACGCTGCTTGATTTATCAGCGGCTTTTGATACCATTGACCATGTTCAACTAACTGAGTGTCTGAAAACAGAATTTGGTATTCATGGCACAGCTCTTGGATGGTTTGTCTCATACCTCAATAATAGGACACAATCTGTGGTCATTCAAGACGTGAAATCGTGTACGCATCAGCTTACATACGGAGTGCCACAAGGTTCCGTTCTTGGGCCCATTCTCTTTTCACTCTATAGCAATATCACGGCGGGGTCAATCTATATGAAGAATCTCGGCAATATCATTCGGCATCATGTTGTGATGTACGAGTCATATGCTGATGACACCCAGCTGTTGCGTTCCACTAAACCGGACTCACTTCCAGCCGATATGTCTATAATCGAAGACTGTATCCTTGACTCCAAAGCATGGATGATACAAAGGAAGCTGAGATTAAATGATAGTAAGACCGAGGTTTTGCTGCTAAGGTGGATGTGTCTTCGTTGGTAGTGGGTAATGAGAAAGTTCCTTTCAGTGATTCCGCGAAAGACCTTGGTGTTTTTCTAGACTCAAATTTATCCATGGAAACACACGTAAACTCTGTTTGTAAGTCATGCTATTTTCATCTCAGAAATATTGCTCCCATTCGTGATATTCTGACATTTGATGCAGCTCACCACCTAGTTCGTTCACTTGTTCTCTCACGTTTGGATTTTTGCTGCAGTCTTCTTGTAAATATCCGCCAAGATCTATTGTCCAAGCTCCAGAGGATTCAGAACTCTGCGGCGCGATTGATTTGCCGAGTCAACAAGCGCAGTCACATTACACCATTGCTGATACGCTTACATTGGCTGCCCACGAAACAGAGAATAGAATATAAAATCCTCACTCTCGCTTTCAAGTGCCTCCATGACAAAGCTCCAATCTATCTGAAAGATCTCCTCAGTGAATATGTCCCACCACGGCTTTTAAGATCAAGTTCTAATTGTCAGTTGAATGTCCCCAAGGTCAGATTAAAGTCATATGGACATAGACAGTTCTCTTACACAGCTCCCCTTTTCTGGAACTCACTGCCTCTTCACACATCCGACAAGCCGCGTCCGTGGAATCTTTCCAGTCCCAACTGAAAACTTTCCTTTTTAAACAAGCTTATGAACTTTAATCCTTTCTTCAGATCACTCTATCTTTTAGCGCCTAGAGAAATTGCCTTGCAGTTTGATTTGTGCGCTATACAAGAACACTTATTATTATTATTATTATAATGTTTTCATATTCATGGACTCTCAAGGTAGGAAGTTCTTTGATTTGGATAGCATGATTACATTTGAATATCACATTTCAATAGTAGATTTATATTTTGTCAAACAACAAAGGACACCGACCCTTCTAATATGATCATCCACTGATTTGAAATGTGGTATACAATCGTGATGCATTAGGAAAGTCGTGATGCCATGATGAGATGTGGGATTCACTTACGATTTAATAGTAGATTTTGCAAATGGTTGTCATTTGTGACAACGCGTCTGTCGTCAAACAGCATCAACGTCGAGTGGGGTTATTTTTCATCAAACAATGTAGTTTATATATTTTTTGTAGATACGGTGTGTTTATATTACTTTTTGTACAATTCAATGTATTCATGAATTTTTTATTAAAGGAGCCATGGATGGGCAAATGTCTTTTTCATTGTGGAGTGCACGCATAATCAATCTGATTTTTCACATGGGTACGATTCCCAACATGTGTACAGTGTATGAAGCGTATTTCTGATGTCCCACGTCGTGATATTGCTGGAATATTGTTAAAAGCGGCGTACAACCAAACTCAGTCAGTCAGTCATGTTAAGTTATATGTCATGTCTGGTGATGTCCTAGGAAGACTCGATAACATAAAACTGTGGTGGGAGACGATCACTTTACTCCATGTTGGTTTTGGCCTACACAGACGCACATTGCCCATGGACCAGTCATTGTGTACAGACTCCTAGGGAGTAATCATTATGCAACAAGTCAGTCAGTTAAAAGCGGCGTAAACCTAAACTCACTCACTCACTCATTCACTACACCACTGTGATGAAATAGATGATTTGGTGGTTGATTAAGTTCCACGTGTATAGTTGAATAATTATCAAATAGTGTTGTGCATGT